GGTAACTAACGAACGCTGACCGGTAACAGACGTCTAAGTAGGGGCGTCGCCGCACGGCACACGAAACGAAAAACGAAACGATTGCATCTTTCTGCAGAGAATGGCCAGGTTCATCGGTTTGCTATAAATAGTAACGAGTGTATTTTGCCATCTTTCGTGGGCAGATGCACTCGTTTCGTTTTCGTTTCGTGTGCCGTGTGGCCAGGCCCTAGTAATCATTATTACCGTGTAACCGTTACCAAACGGCCCCGTAAGCAACGCTGACGAGTAGGGAACCGCTGATAATTAACCGTGACCGGTAACTACTAACTAACCACGGGTAATCAACGCTGACCAGCTGAGTTTCAAGAACACGCTGATTTGTAATATCATACACTACTATGCTATTGTTCGTGAGGAAGTGTCGGCCATTGCTTCTTCTTTACTTCTTCTTCTTCTTCCTCTTCTTCTTCCTCCTCCTCCTCCTCCTCCTCCTCCTCCTCCTCCTCCTCCTCCGGCATTACGGCCGATGGGCAGCTAATGGCTGGCCGACGCTGAGCGGCAACTGCCGGCCGACTATCAGCACTAAGTTAAACATGTAAATGCCGGCCGGTAATCAACACTGCTGGCAGGTAACTAACGGCCGGCAGGCTGTTGGGGGAGAGGGAGGGGGGGAGGGGAGGAGGAGGGAGGAGGAGGGAGGAGAAGGCGACTTTGTGCATATCCGCGTTTTCAGGAAAACGAACCAATGAATACCAAAAAAAAAAAAGGCAAAACATAAGGCAGAATTAGTGTGAGGTGAAATTGAGAGAAGAACATACCTGTAAAAAAAAAAAAAAAAAAAAAAAAAAAAAAAAAAAAAAAAAAAAAAAAAAAAAAAACCGTCTAAATATCTTGGAAAATTAATGACCAAATGCGGCAAAAGCCGCAGATTTGTCCCAATTCCCATCATCATGAAATAAAAACAGTATTATATGACCGTAATATATTTACTCATAATAAACTATCTTGAATTAACTTCAATCACTTATGTACACTTTCTTTTGTTCATTTCCTTTTTAACACAAACAAAACTGTGGAGGGGGGGGAAGCTATTACTCATAGTAACTGTATGACTATATATCTTTTTTTTTTTTTTTTTAATAATACAAAGAAGACCTCTTGCGGGCGCTAGGGGTGTTGATAAGAGCAATCTCACCTCTAGCACCCCAAGGGAGGCTCCATCTATTGGTGGGGAGCATCACGAGATTGACAATTAAATTATGTTTAAGTGCAATGTAATAATAATTAAGGTAAACGTTAGATTTCGTACGAAGTGGTGCGGCTCGTGCACGCTGCCATTCGCCATAGTCATGCACGTACACGCACATGCACACGTGCACATGCATGTACTAACCACTGGGTGCTCGACTGGGACGCTTGGATGTACGTGTACTTGCATCGCCGTGCCCGTGCTAGTACACACACATGCATGTGCATGACATTGTGCGTTTGCGTGTATTAAGGGACGCTTGCACGTGCGTGTGCGTGCATCGCATTGTGCGCGCACGTACACGCTCATGCACATGCACATGCATGTGCACGTGCGTGTGCGGGTATTAACCGTTGGGTGCACGAATGGCAGGCTTGCGCGTGTACGAAGGATGGCATTGCGGAATATCGCGCAATGGATAATTCATATTATATATATACGTGGGCGGCCTTGTACGCAAGAGGTTCTGAACAGGGGGAGTTATAAGGAAGAAGATAAAAAACTGAATTCATTTTTTCCTGTTTTTCTTTTTTTTCTTTCTTTTTTTTCCCATTTGCGCTCTGATATTCTTGTGACAATTTATATTTATATATATCGTCACATATATATCGTCACAAACAGAACTGCCCGGTAAACCGTAGGCAGAGAGGGAGAAGAGGACAACAAACGAGGTATATATATATCATATATATCGTCACAAACAGAACTGCCCGGTAAACTGTAGGCAGAGAGAGAGAAGAGGACAACAAACGAGGGGCTGTGACAAACTGTTTCGTCG